ATATGTTTATTAGTATAATAATAATATAAGTATTTTATTGTCACGAATTTTAAAAAAAATAATCCCACGTACGCATTTAAAATCATCAAATTCAAAATTAACGAATTTTTATAGCAACAAGTTTATTTTTAAGTGTAAAAAAAACATGAGTACTTGAGTATTTTAAAAGTTAAAAATATAATATATGTGTTTTTAATAGTTCTTTAAATTAATTATTATTTTCTTGTATACACAAGTTTTATATTATTCGTTTTGACCTACGTTAGCAGAATACAAACACAGTGTAACTAAGGAATCTAAACCAGCATTCCAAAAAAAAAAAATAAAATAAAAATAACATGTATCAAATGAAAACACTAAAAATTGTTGTTGTAAGTTGCATAAACACCGAATATGACACGTATACCCTCATCTATGTTATGTAAACTAAACGGACAAACACTGCAGCAGTTGATTTTATCTATTGGCCTTCCAAAGTCATATATGATATTGTTTTTTTCATATTTTTATTACATAAATAGTTATAATGTATTATAGTAGTACAGATTAACGTGTGAAAGTATGTTGGAAATCAATTAAATATCTATGCAAGATTAATAATATTATGTTATTTTAACAAAAACAAAAACGGTAAATTCAAAACGGACCCAAAATAGTCGTTCTGCCGTTCTTGAACTAAATATATTAATAACTGTTTAAAATACACAATATTCGGTTTTATAATAAAAAAAAACATATTATTGAATTCTAATAAATTAACTGTCATACGTGTTGTTGTAAATTTTACTTTGTATATTATAATTTAAAATTTTTAGTTTAAATCATTTGTTAAGTTGTAGTTTAAACTAGATATCATCGTTTTTTGGTTATTAAATGATAAATAGATAAATACTAGAAACATAAACTTTAAAGACCGATAGTTAGGTACACCAAGAAAAGAAGAATATCTGCCTTCTAATATTGAATTGTATCGAGAAAAAAAATTGAAAGTATTTTTAATAAAATAATTATTAGGTTACTGTGTAGATTTTTAAATTGTGTCCGCATAAATCATGGAAAATTTGAATAAAGTTACAATATTAAATTTGATTTACAAAAATTCAGTAATATTTTAAACCGGTTATAATTATATTTTTTTTTAAATATAATATTAATTCCTCGGCTATGTTTAAAACTATTAAAATTCTGTATGGTATTATAAATTTTGGAATCACGCCACGGTGTCTCAACGACGATAGTTTAATCATTTTTTTCAATGTAAACATGCGCCACGTACCTATACGTAAATTAACTTTCCGTAAAATCAACACCGCGAGAGCTCTAGGTCAATATCAGAGTTAATTAACCTCTTATCGAGTACTTGTTTAAAATAAAAAACTGTGAACACTTTCTACAATGTGTTCGTATAATGTTAAATTTGTATTCTCAACAAATAACAAATTCAACAAATTTAAAGAAACTGAACAATAGGTTTATTAAGGGTAGCAAAAACGAAACCCTTATAATTTCGTCCTGCCGTTTGTTTATCATCACAAGCTTATAACTCCATTTTTCTACTAATTTTGATGCAATATTTCAGGAAGGTGTCTTAGGTGATCCGTAATATAGTTGGGTAATGAACAAATAAAAAAAAAGGATGTTCCTGGGGACGTGTGTGCTACTAATGTAGGTAGAAAGTTGGGAGGGTAGGATATATAAATATATTTGATTTATATCTTTAAGTAACGATAAACCATTATAAACGATTATTCTAACGATCATTATAACGATAAACGAAAAAGATTCGGAGCGAAGTTCGGTAAAACATGTTTTGAAAAGCTCTATTATTTATAATAGAGCTAATAATTCAACTAGCTGTCCCACACAGTTTTGCCTGTGCCATTTTTTTTTTTTTTACCTATGTTTTTTTTGATTATTCGCTTTATTGAATGAAAACAAATGAGTGGAAAGTGGATATTCCGCCTTGGTGGACTAAAAGTGTTCTGTTGTGCCATCAAGTCGCCCCTAGCTATCCTCCGAATTAACTCGATTGGTCAAAAATGCAGACAAATTCTATATTTCTTACCAAAAGTATAATTTTAATGAATTTTATCGTTTTATGAGAAATGATTGATTCCCCATACAAACTATCATAATCACACTCACGGTGATGAAGACGTTTGCTAACGGTTACATGCCAAGCGAGTATGAACATCAGCCTTATCATTCAGGTTCGGGACGGTCACGACACTACTGTGTGTAAATAAATCGAGGCTATTATAGGTACGTGCCCATGTGTATTGGTATATACCCACACCAAACGCATCGCAATACAACAATAATAAAAACAATAATAAAATACGAATAAAAAAAAAGAAATAATTTTTCCCGTTTTTGCAACATTTTTCATTGATGCTCTGCTCCTTGGTCGTAGCACCATGTTAAATAGCCTATAGCCTTTCTAGATAAACGGACTATCCAACATAAAAATAATTTTTCAATTCGAACCAGTAGTTCCTGAGATTAGCGCGTTCAACCAAATAAATAAATAAACACTCTTATTCTTTATAATATTAGTATAGATTAATAAATAATAGTAAACAAGGCAATTAGAATTTTTTGACAAAATGTCAAGTCTCTACGAATATTTTTAACTGAATTACAACAAAATAAAATTGAATATAATAGTAGTAATCATTTGATAAATTGTTCAGTTCTTTCTACGTTTTTTTTTCGTTTTTGCTCAAATATTTAAAAAACTATGGGAAAAACCAAAAAATGACTTACCTAATTAGCAATAAGGTTATAAATTCAACAAAGAAAATTTCTTGCCATTTTTTGATTAAAACAATATTTCTGGTAGAAAACAGTTCGTAAACTGTAAATATTTGTCGTTTTACGTTTTACCTATATTGTTTTTCCCGATTTTCCTGAATTATAATTTTATAAATTTATTATAAAAATCTCTTGAAAAATCAAAAAACAGTTTCCATGCTACATCAATTAGATAAAATTTAATTTCAGAAAAAGTGCTATACTTGTTACATTAGAGCAAGATTCCTGATAGAAAAGTCCTTCATGGATTTAAAAAATCTCGCTACGCTAAGAATCTAAAATATATTAGTAGTTTTCTATACATACAACTTAGTTATGAAAAATGTACGTATCCTGCGGGACATCATTAGAAGGGTCTTAAGAAATGCTATAAAGGTTTTTGTTCAGTGGCGAATTTACGGGTCTGCACCCCTCTCTTTCAGACACTGATATAATTTCAATAAAATGTCCAAAAAAAGAAGCATCTATTAGTAGAGATACCTTTTGAATATATATTATTTTTCAGCACCCCTCCCAGAAAAATATTGAAAATCCGCTACTGTTTTTATTTAACACTTTGTGTTTGGATGAATACTACGTGGCATATACCATATATATAAGCTGCTTAAGTTCATATTGATAATGTATACGTCTCCCACTCTAGTAAATTTCTCAACTGTGTGATTAAAATTCGTTGAAAAAAATTTAAAAATGTCCTTAATCTTCATAAATAATGCTAACAAAACTTACGTTGATTAAAATATGTTAACTAGTTTTAACAATATAAAATAGAATATAAAGAGTTTATTACGGATATTTGACAAGTGTAATAAAATTTGTTCTGATTAATATGTTGATGTTTAATAATATTAAATAAATTAGCAGTGGTTACCGAGTCATTAGTTAAAATTATTATCATATGGTTGGGATTTCAGGGATCCAATTCATCATTGGTTGTGTAAAAAGAAGCATTGAGTTTTTAAAAGAACAAAATGAAAATAACAGCGGTATTTTAACGGCGTTTTCTTCGAAGTATCCGGTAAAAATGAAATTATCAAAGTGTGAAGATATCAATGAAGAAATTTTAGATTAAAAAAAAAATATGGATATACCTCGTTCAATGAATGGGCCACTGTTGTAGATGAGCAGTTGGGAAGGTAAGATATAGAGGGGAATTTAATGTAAACCTTATAAATAAGCAAAGATCGGATTTAATTGCATTTAAAACACACACAAATTGTATAATAAAATTATATAATTGCACCAAAAAAAGCCTAAAAATTGCATAACAAATTGCACTATAAAAATGCAAAAGTTATGTAAAAAAAATTAGATAAATGTTACATTTTTAATTAAAATTGATAAATAGATACATTTCTAAATTATTTTCATTAAAATTAAATCTTCTATTACTTAAAATATGTTTGTACAAAGAAAAACTACGTTCTACGTCTACACTAGTTATTGGTGCATATTTAAAACAATTTAATAAAGTAGGCTTTATATTTAAATTAACATTTGCTAAACCTGACATGATTTCATAGTAAAACTTTAATGTTTTATGCCCTTCATTTTTTTCAATTAAAAATATATATTTTTTAAAATTTTTTTTCCATTTGGACCAGAAATATTTGTTTAAATATCTTCAATTTTTCTAAATATATCGATGCTTTTCAATTGTTCACTATTAGATTCTTCCAAATTTTTAAGATTCATGAATAACTCGGATAAGTGTAATTTTATGAATGTTAAACCATATTTGACTGCATTATATTGTATAAGCTATTCTAGCTTTTCGACACTCGTAGCATCGTGCGTTAAACTTTCAATCACGTTTTTAAACTCTTCAAAATTATTTGCATAGAAAAATCGCAGCATTTAACCATGTTTCCCACCTTGTAATAATAGGTTCGGGTGGTAAAGGTATACCCGGTATTTTTTTTTTGTATTTATTTATTTTCGATGGTGCTATTAGGAAAGCTTTTTTTCCTGAAATAAACGAAATAAATTACATATGTGTTTAAATTTTAAATATATTACTATTGTTAATCAATTTATTAATGTCGGAATGCAATTCTCGACTTTCTTTAGAACTCTATTAACTGCGTGCGCCATGCATGTGTAATATGGATTAATTTCGGGAAAAATATTTTTAAAGTTTTTGCTGCTTTGATCATATAAGTACAAGCATCACTAATGAAAAGAAGTTATGCTTTTTGTTCATTACCAGGAAATATTTTTAACGAGGAATCAATAAACTGACAAATAGTTACATAATTGGTAAATTCTAGTTCTTTACATGCAATTAAATATGATTTACTAGGCGTCCCATCTTAATGTACCAATTAATACATTTTCAATAGCCAAACCTTAACGAAAATAGTATATTTTATTATACAAGAAATTTAAAAAATTATTTATACAAACCTCTTGGATTGGTTGTTTCGTCGACAATTATGTAAACGTAATTATTTCCAATATCATTGATTATTTGGTCCATAATGCTTTTATAAATATTTGGTATGCAATCTTTTCTTATGGTGTTTTCGTCCGGAATCGATTTGCCAGTATGTTTTTCCAAAAATGATTTTAACACATGATTGCCCAGCTCATGCAAAGGAATATTTGCAGCAACAAATGCGTTACATAAATCTTCAAAAAATACATTTTTACTATTCGAATTTTGAGAAATAATCAAAAGCTGTTTTTTTCTTTATTCCTTTGTAATGCATTTATGTGTTGAACTAAAAAAATATAAATGTATTTTTGAAATAAAATGTAGTATATAACGTGTAGTATGATCATGAAATACAAAACTTACTTGTTTTAAACTGTTTTACAAAATCAGGTTTTAGAACTTTAGTAATCGACTGAAAATAATCCTTATGAACTTATTAGTTATAACTATGATGAATGGGATAAATTAACAGAGACGATAAATCTTAATGAAACTTTTAAATCATACGTCAATATCTATGGAAATTTGGTTATTTGTGGAGGCTTAACTGAAGACGATATCGTCTCCTATATATTGGACAGTGATAATGAAAAAGAAGTCAAAACCCGCAAATTGAACTTTGCAGCTTGGACCATTACAAGTAAGGAAGCGTCACTTGCTTTACAAAAATTACGTAAATACATCGAAAGCAATGAAGGTGTGGTTATTTAAAAATAAAATTGAGAACATTGGTTTAAATAAAACATAAACAATTAACCTTTGACCAAATATTTAAAAACAGTATGTAATACGTATGTATAATAATGCGTAAGTATGTACGTATATATTATTTCTTTAATGTAAATTTTTTTAAATAAATGAATACCTTTTATTAATATTTTGATAACTCGAAAATTTTAGTAAATCGAATTTATTTTTTCCCCGTGAACTTCGAGTATCGAGAATCGCCTGTATTAACGAAACGTAAATAGTAATAAAGTCTTGCATAAAACTATTGTACTTGCTGTATTTTAATTAATGTAAAGGTTGATAAATAATAGCTGTCTAGCGAATTTTTTTTTAGCCAGCACGCGTGCGTAAAAACATGTTGCACGAGCACTGGGCAGTTCAAATACTTCCTCAGTGCCAAACTATTGGTTAGTGCCGGTCCTGAAATAAACGTAAGAAATATATCCGGGATGTTACGAACGCGCACACGAACGAATACGTTCATTTGCATGCTCATGCCCGGTTTCTTTGCCGCACAACGTGCGTGCACTTAGATTTTTCGAAAAGGTTCGGAGGGCGCGTTTCTCGCAGAACTCGGACATTTCAAGGTCTCCGTCATAATACGACCGTAGTTTATAATTAATACTGTTACGTAAATGATCAATTAGGTTTTTATTTTTGAAATCAATGTACAACAGAGTAATGCGATTTAATTAAAGAATGCGATAATGACATCGACGAAATGACGACTAAATGAAAATACGTTCTACCCACCGCGTGCAGTGTGGTAATCCCGCGCGTAAAGCGCGATTTCTGCAGTTATTTCCGTATACCGCTTACCGATCGCATAGTTATCATTAGTTATCGCTTAGCGCGTTGTGCGTGTTTAAAAATAATAATGGGCGATTATTATTAACCGTGTGGCCCGGCGCGCGTAACAGTGTTGGCAGTGGTTGTGGTCAAAATGCCATTACAATATTATAAAACGTCTTTAAACCCAATCACGGACCCCCATCACAAACAGACACGCCAGACTCGTATGCACACACACACAATATGGTTGTCCGCCGCAACCTTGGCCGGCCCTTCAAAGTGAAACCGTCAAACCAATACCGGCGCGGCCGACAGAAGTGTAGGTGCCGCCGCCGCACGCCCGATATTCGATGGATCGATCAAATTCGGCCGAATCAATTGGGATGGATAGGGGAGGGCGCGTGTGTGGTCCGTATACTATAATACATATGCATATAGCTGCCTGCACCTCTTTTTTTTTTAATTTCTACACAATAATTACAATTTTAAACCGTCACTGTCCGCAAACAAGACGGTCACGATCGTTAATCGAAGTCTCTCTGCTATGTTAGACCCGCATAAACGTCCGTAACGTACACCATAAATTTCGACCGCGTATACTTATACTGCAATTACAATAACATTGGTATTTTAATATTCGACTAATGTCAATATTACACGGTTGCCTGTATTATATTTAATTGAAATAGTGTTTACGATACAGGCGTACGTCTGTTGCGATGACATTAATGGCGCAGACAATACAAAATCTATTCGCAGCGCACTTTATAATTATAAATTAATCGTATACATTAATCGGATTCCCGACATTTTATGAAACTCCTTTTTTTTTTTTTTTTTCTCTACAGGTAATGCAAATGTTCGCATCGTGAATATAATAAAAACACATTAAATTCCCGTAGTATCGAAAGAACGCAGTCAGATAATGTGTACGAGATGAAATTCAATTATTAGTCTATAAACTGCATATTTGTACACCAATATATTGGTGTATTTATGGGGAAATACCCAGAATACCGACCCGACTGTATGTGTATACATACAAAATGATTCACTCAACTGGAAACACCCATTGTCTCGGAAAGTATTGACTTTTTTTTTTTGAAAACTTAAGCAACAAATAGTTCTAAAATGTTAAGCTATCAGTTTTTTTTTTTTTTTTTTTTTTTATCACCCTTATTTTTGGAAGTGAAACGTACTTTTAATTTTTAAACGACAATCTATATTGAAAATACGTATAGGTACCTTAAATAAATGGAGTATTACTTAAAATAAATTTTGGTGTTGAAATATTTCATTTCCGTTAACTCGTTGACGATATAATCTACTTTTAATTTTGGGTCTGGGGATAGTGTTGTTGCATGTTAAAACGCATTTAAAATGCATAAAGAATTTTTAATATATGTTGCCGTTGGAAAGAAGGTAGTGGTTTTATCTTCCCCCCCCCCTCCAAAAAGGGCAACAAAAAATAACGAAAATGTAAAATTGTAGAACTGCTTATTTCTGAAACGTTCTATAAAACAAATTCCGAAAAAAGTTAATACTTTCCGAGATAATGAGTATTTCCAACTGAGCGAATCGTCTTATATAACCTTGTTCTTAGATCTTGATAGGTCTATATATATATATATATATCTATTTTATCCTCAGCAGCACGTCGCGATTGTCCCAGGAACTTCCAGTTTAGTATTCAAATAATACACCAATCAGGAACCTCCTGTTGGGGAAGCATTTTAATCTTAAATCACCAAAACAATTTTTTAACAAAAACTGGCGTCATACTGGTGTTTAAAATTTTAATGAGATATAAATCGTAGCATGTTTTAAAAGATAACGTTTTGAGCGGAGTTCGGAATTCAAATCGTGACGTTGTTTTTTAAATTTATCGAAATTCCTTAAAAGTTCATATTTACCTAAGATAATATTTAAGTAAAATATCACCTACTATTTGAAAACGTTTTGCAATATTTCATTGTTTATTTTTTACGAATATTACGTATTTTATTTTTTTTTATTTGGGATTTATAACATAAATTATGTTTCATAACAAAATGTTTATAAGTAAACATTTTGAAATTTTATGTTTTTGTTTTATTTTATTTATTAATGTGTCTTGTTGTACGTATACATATTTATTGTAATATGTAATTAAACGTTATTGTAGATAAGCGTCATTTTTTTTTCATTAATAAAAATATATATTTTATATTAACTAACAATAATTAAGTTACTTTAGTATACCTATAATAATTTTATAATTTTTTCGAGTAATACGTAATTGGTTGATGGTTTAAATTTGTAAATTTGTAATTCCCAATTACTTAGCTCATGACCGCAGGTCATATATACCTTTGGTATTTTCCTAGAAGATCCAGTTTGTAAGTATAGACTATACAGTTATTCGCGTGTCATATAATTTATCTTGTTTACTGAATTAGATTTTAGTGATTCTGCATTGCAGGGGCGGAATAGCTTACCGGGCTACCAACATGCCCGTCGGCCTGGCTTAAGAGTGGCCCGATATGTTCAAAATTAAATGCTTTTTTTTGTTACTTAAAAATGAACTGTTCGCTAATTAAAATATTTTTACAGGATAAAGAACTCAGATATATTTATTAATAGCAAAATCATAACAAATGTATACTGTATTGTACGATATATCTATCACAAATCTACCATTTTCTTCCAGAAATCATATTCTGACCATTAACTTTAAGGGTGGTTTTCGATAGCAAGTTTTGTTTAGTTTTTATATTGGGAAGTCATTTAAATTTTTTATCTGTTTATAATTTTTATTTTATACTTGTGAAGTGGTAAATTATCCATCGTCATGGGAATATTGAACTTTTTTTTGTTTTTTTATGGGTTACCTTAGGAATAAGTATGAAAAGAACCAGTACTGTTATTTAATTTGGTTGTTATGACCAAGGAACAGCCCATTTTAAAAGATAAATTAATGATAAATTGATATATACTAGGATAAGGATAAAGGTAAGCTCGGGAAATACTGATTAAATCAGCTAGTTAATGGTTATTGTTTGTAAATAATAATCATTACACATTTGCATTATTTATTCAACCAAGTACAAATAATTTTAATAAAAAATTATGTTATTTTTTTTTAGCTAAGCCTCCTCTACATTAAAAATCCTGGATAAGCCACTTACCATTGGAATTATATAGTAATATTTTAGCAAGTATTTTGGCTGAAATATTTTCCTATTAAGGGGCGATGTCAATTGAGTCATGAAAATTTCTACAAATATATGATCCAAAATTGTGTATATACTTCTTTAAATAATAATTTTTATAAGTATACCATTATTAATATTAAATATGACATCGAGAAATGGTAAAAATTGAAGTGGTTTAGATATTTGATATTTGCTTGGTAAGAATTTTCGAGCCACTCTGCCTCTGTTCTGTAGAACCAGTTACTGTAGATTAGACGTACATTTTGATTTGTATACGATATAAATTAATAGATGCTTATACCAACTAAAAGTCGTTTTAACAGTTATATCGGTTAAACTTTATACTGGTATAAATGATGATAATGAATGTATACAATTATGATAATACGATTAGAGTTTAATATAGCGTTGTTGAAGAAAAAAAACCTGTGTGCTAAAACTTGATTTTCCAAGAGACACTATAAACATTTGAAAAAATCAAAAATTGTCAGTAATTGACGAAAATAAATTTTAAAATTGTAAAACGATAAAACTATTTATTCTGAAAAAAATTGAAGTTGAAAATACGGACATGCTTCTCACTTAGGTGGGCCACTGTTGTAGATGAGGAAGGTAGAGGGACAATTTAATGCATATCTGTACGCAACGATTAACCATTGCTAACGAAAAAATGATTTTGAGCGGGATTAGGTTAATAGTGTTACTTTCTCAACAATATATATGTCACATTATGGTAAAATAATTACGTATTTGCATCATATATTTTCTTTAATAATATTTGTTTAATATTGTATCCATTTTACCGTTTTTCTCGGTTTTTACCATGTTTTTCCCATTTATTGGGAAAATTCCTGAGAAAATCAAAAAAATGACTTCCGTTAAGTACTGCCCTAGTCAGATTTTCTTTCTGAAATATTTCAGTGATATTTCGGAGTAAGATTTTTGGAGAAAATTTTGCATATTGGAGGTTTTTTCACGTCAATGACGATAATACAGGGTAGGTACACATTGTTTACATAAGAGGATTCTAAGATGGAAAAAACCAAATTAACAAAAGAAAAAAAAAACAAGTATAATTAATATATATTTAATGTAATATTATGAAGCTGTAAGATGTATAGGTACATTATGTTTTATTCACATTAGATAACGTTGTAATAAATTTCAAATAATTTAAATAATAGTTATTTTTTGTTTAAACATTTCAATACAAAATTAATAAATATTATTATTAGCTAAACATTTATAGACTACCTACCTATAGTTGAAAAAAATGTTATAATTCCGGAAAGTATTTTTTAAGTTACAAATAACCCACGATAAATTAATCGTAGTTTTATATTAATGTAAAACGACTGGATTCTGAAAAAATTCTGTTTTTAAATTGGTTCAAATGCATGTATAATCACTAGGTACACTAAAAAACATATTATTTTTTAAAAGTATGTTTTTATTGAGTTTATTGAAGAAAAAAACACACTTGCTGTAGATAATTGGGCACGAGAGTCACCAAAATTCTCAACGAGGAATCGTTAACATTCCCATAAAGGTTATAAATGTTTTCGCAATCACACAATTTAAAGCAAAAAAAAAAAATTAATTTCCTTAACTTTTTCAATTAATTACATTTCAAAAACAAAAGTAATTTTTAAATTAATTGATTACGTCCAAGAAAATATTTATATAGAAAATTAGATTTTCAGAATCTTTATCGCGGAACGTTTTACTATTTGTAAATTATGTACAAAACTTTATACATCATATTTTTTTTCCTCAGGAATATATTTAATTTGAAAATAATATACTTGGTGTGTGTGAAACATTTAAATTATAAAATAATATAGTAGTTTTTGATGTTTACAAATTTTTTCTCCTCGTTGTGACAAAATAAGTGCAAATCTCCCAAATAAAATGTAATTTATACACACGAGTTCTGTGTAGGTTTGTACGATGATTAAATTTGATTCGAAACTTATTTTATTCAAACGATTCATAACGAACATAACTCTCGATGACGTCCTCAGAGAAACGTTTCAATTTTAATTGTTATCAACAACAACACTCGGTATAAATTCTAAGTGGATGAAATGCAATGAATTTTTATTTTTTAATTATAAAAAAAATACGACCGATTGTGAACCCTGTAGGTAATTAACATGTTCGGAACGGGTCGTTTTCAATTTTCCCAAGGGCGTTCTTATTTTATAATTCTATATAATCGAATTATACAAACAACTTCCAAGTTAACCCGAGTAGGCAATTTGTTGGACCATTAAACTTCAATTGAACAAGTTTGAAATTATGTACAATTCTGACATTAAAATTAGATCTTAAAGACGTCACTATAGTAGGAACTGATTATTGCAAGATTAATGATTATAGTATTATGCAGTAGTAGTCGTTTACAGAACTCGCTTGACGTTTAAAGAAATAATATTTACAATATTAACTACAAGACTCATTATGCAATACTAAAACATAAAATTTATTGTATTGATAAATGATTATAATACAGCGATATCTATTTAAATTTATAATTTGAAAATTACGAAAGTTAAAATTATTATTTTTTGGTCTTTTATAAACGTAAAATTTAAAAAAGTCATGAACGAACGAAATAGATTTAAAATATTTTATACAAATCGATCGATTATTATTATTACAATATTTATACGACGTCGATTACAAAATCCAGTATGTGTGAAAAAAATGAAATGCATTTCATATTTTCATAAAAATGAAAACAAAAAAACAACCAATTATACATTTAATTAATGAGTTTACACTACAATATAATACGGTCGGTTTAATTCCTAACTGTCGTAATTCCAAAAATGTGATTTTGTATTTATGATATTTTTAATTCAAATAAATGATAACGTATAGTAAATAAGGTGACTAGAAATAAATAATTTATTCTCACGTAAAAAGCTGATATAAAATAAAAAACTAAATTGTTGCATTGAAGAAAAATTCTCCATGGCGTTAGGATTTTTGGTAATTAGGCCAACAATATATTGAATAGGTAACAATAATCATTATAAAAACGATAGGATAATTTTTTTTTTATAATTCGGCCCGGAAACAAAGAATATATTGATAACGTAATTTTATATGTGGACACAGTTTGGTTCGGAGTACAAATATTGCGTGGGTAGATGTGTTTTTGATTAAATAATCAGATTATAATATGCGAACCGGACATAATAAAATAACAGCCGGTAAATGAATCAATAAATACCATATAGGTAAACCCCTGAAATTTTATCTTTGCGTTCACATTCGAACTGGTAAATTGGTTGTTTGTACGCGATAATATTAATGGTGTTGGATTTATTATTATAATTTATAACAACAATTGTCACGGGTTTGCATTTCGCTTTTGTGTTCGTATAGGTATTACCTATACCTAACCTAAAACAAGCAATATATTATTATTAAAATTTACTGGAAAGTATCGATATGAGTCGATATTGTATATCGGCCCATATTAAGGATATTAGATATTCGAAAATCGATTTGTTTTTTTAAATCGATATTTTCTGGGAAAAAATGTCATGTCTCTGGAATATGAAAAAAACGTTTTTAAAAAAATCGAGTTTTTAACCGATATATTGGGTAATTTCAATATCAAACATCGGATCGTGTATTCCAATCTAGTGACCTGTGTACATTGCATACTCAATATGCCCAATTGTTGTAACATCGAGTCTTAAGTTGTTATAATATTTTATTACCGCCATGTTTATGTATATTAATTCTGGTTATTTCAAGGGTATATTATCCAAAAGAAAAAAAATTTGTTAAACGCACTTTTGCGGATTTTGTCGTAAGTCTAACTATTTCCAGACGTTAGACACTGTGATTGAAAAAAACTTTCCGGAAAAATAATCGTTTTTTCGTATTTTATGTGTAGTAAACCGTTCGTATATATATAGAAGTAACGATTTAAATTAAGGCGGTATAACGAACAAATAAATAGACGAAAAACAAGTATACACAGAACCGTGAATAATATTACTTTTTACACACGGGTTTCTTTAATTTTTCATTAGTAACAATAATATTAAAAGATTTCCAATATACAAAAAAAAAAAAAAAAAAAATAATCAAGGAAAAAAATACGCTGCGTGACCATAATATATAGTCCGCAATTATAAGAGAAGGTGTCTTGCATGCATGTGCTATCTCTGTCTTATTAGCGTATGATACGTACATTTAATATTATGTACATTTTTATACAGGACCAATTTCATACTGTCAATGATGGTTAATATTAGAGTGAGATGACCTATTGCCGAACTTAAAGTCAAGGAACCTATCTGTGGTTGTCGATTTTTCTCGATATTTAAATATTTAAGTACCAACAGATTAATAAAACAACTAAATAGTCGAATCCGATTTCATTATTATAGCTCAACTATCATTTGATAACAGATTAATGTTTTCTTCCTTTAAGTTTGATAATAGGTCAATTCACTTTACAATGTTAATATAAACTGACATCAGTCCTACTGAACTTACATTTCACTGTGTCGTATGTAAATTTGTGGATATCATATAGGTACAGCACATGTGACTGTGTGACAATCCTCTTAAAAATTAGGGGTAGACCGATGTATAAACCATATAGGTTTCTGTTAAAACCGATATCGTAAAAAATAAATCTAAACAATAGTTTTGTATTAAAAAATGTATAAAGTGTATTGGCATATAGGATTATTTATTGACATGCTGTTGTCACATTAACATGGTCTTTTGTTATCGTGTACCTTATGTATTTTATAACGATCATCAACCACTAAGTAGGTATTTTATAGATGATAAAGAATGGATTGATGTATAAACAACCACATATGCAACCACTATTCGGAATGTGAAAGAGGACATTTTAAAAAAATTAATAATTAGTTTGTTTCGATAATGATTTGGAATTGTGTAGTTTGCCGTAGTTCAAACGACATTACAGATGTGTTTTTTTTTAAGTGCATCATAATAGCAATAGTTATCACTTATTCATTTTAGGTTTCCGAAGAATAACACAAAACTTCAAATCGCCTAAATTCGTTTGAAATGATAATAAACAATACAAATAATTGAAAAATAAACTTTTATTCCTGTAATCTACACGAATTAAAATTCAATCTTAATTTGAACATTGCCTTGAAATTCTCCCTCAACCAGAGGGAGAAAACACTATACAGTCTGTCTTTCTTCTCCAACTGGGAACGCCGGTGAGTACGTTATGACTCTATCAGTACCATGCGTGTGGCATATCGATTCTTCATTGTCTATGGGTATAGGTACTGTAATATACCTGCAGTATCACTGCATTCGTATCGAAACAAATCAAATAAAAAAAAACAACGCTAATAATATTATAATATGTACATATTATCGGTTCGTGGTTTTTGCCAGTCAAATGATTGATTTGTGTAATATAATATTGGTTATCGGTTTTATATCGTAATGTTGGATATCGGTCCACCCTTCTTGAAAAAAATAAAAAAATAAAAATTAAATAAAACAATGTACAAAGACGACACCTCAATAATTATTTCGTCAACGCGGCGTTTTATTATTGTTATTATTTTTTTATTTTTTTCATATAATAATCGTAATAATAATAATAATAATAATAATAATTAATGTTTGTATTTATATGTTATACGTGTTGTCCGCCCCGGATTTCTGCGCGTTCCGTTCGGTACGGGAAAAAGGGGCGCGAACGGATTTACGTGACCGCGACGACCAGCAACGCGGCCGCGGCGATCAGCGCGTAGCCCAAGTTCAAATGGTTCGTGTGGTTGGCCTGTTTGGACGAACCTCCACCGCCGCCGCCGTCGCCACCGCTACCGTCGGACAGCACGCTGCTGGCCAGAACTTTGGCCGAGCCGCTTTTTGCACCGCCGCCACCGGTAGCCGAACTCGTCACCGTGTTCGAGTCCACCGCCGAGCAACCCTGCGAAATGCATACCAACAAAATATATGAGGCGTGTTTGGTTATTAATAGGTTATGTTAGGTTCGAATAATGTTTAAGAACAATCGCTCGCGACCCGGAGGATCGCATCGCAAGGCCGTAGCCTAAAGGCGGTTGGGACAAAAGGCATTAACGGCGTGCCGTTAATATTTGTCGTTTTACCTATAGTTTTCCTTCCGGTTTTTCTAAATTGTTTTTGAAACCCCTTAGAAAATTAGATTAACGACCTCTCTAATACACCAACCAGATTAAAATACCTTTCAGGTATAAATATTTATAATCAGCACATCAATGAAAAAATAACTGTTCGGCAAATTAATCACGATAGTTGATTTACATTTTCCTGTATGCATTATCATATAAATATAAAAGACAAAATAGCCCATTTTGTTATTATTTTATTTTTTTAAATATTGGATTTTAAATTAATATATAATAGTACCTACCTTAAAAAACGTTACTTAGGTTTTCTCAGAGGGAATTAATTAGTGTATTTGTTTTTTCTTTCTTTTTTTTTTTCTATAAATACATAACTAGTGCAATCTACTCACCAATATAATACATATTAATTACATATGATAAAAGGACCTTTAATCTATTCTGTGCATTCATTATTTTTTTGAAATAATATGTGAAAACTGTCAATGTTTTACGAGTCGACTTGTTGTTATTTAAAATTTAAGATTTTCTCTCTCTCATAATATTTATTAAAAATGCAAAAAAAATACAAATAAATACTATGATATAATCGCTACACACTTTTTAATTTCGTACAGTACACCTGACATTTCGTATTACACAAAGTGTGTCGTACTACCTATACACAAATTTCCGCAGCTCTATGGTCAAACAATTATAATGAATATATAAACATACTCGTACAAATATAATTGTAATTTAAAAAAAATGTAATAAATTATTAAAAAAAAAAAACTTACAAATAAATACTGAATTTTATCTGTTGTGACTTGTGTTCGTAATGAATACAATTTGAAAATTTTATAAAAAGTTTTTTTTTTTATAAATACATTTTTATGGGGGGTATGCTATTCAGTATATTTGGCCGGGAAGACACTTTGAGTTTGATATGCCTGTTGTTACACTATCCTCAAGCTAAAAACTGAAAACGTCGGCCAAATTATTTTTATAGAATGAAGAATTATAAATGAATACCTACGTAAACGCAGAATATATACATAATATTATGACGTCCAAATGACGTAAATGTATATTATAAACCGTTGTGGAACGCGTACATTATTTTTAAATAGTACTTACGCACGACTGCACAAATACTAAAGTGATGTTTATTGTACCACTTTTTTTTTTTTTTTTTTTCATTAGACACGCAATTTATTGGTACATTTGTTGTTAATAGTTTGTTGTAATAATTTGTTGAAATAGAAAAAATATTTATTATATGATTCTAACATGCGAAATAAATAAGAACGCCAAGAAGAAAATTAAATATAAACTAATACATACATGTATTTTATTATATTACCCACTATAACTATTATTGTAGATAAAGTCAAACATATATAGAGTATGCTATCTATATCTATAATAAATTGTATTTAATGACAACTTAATTTTTAATGTAAGTATAACTACTGCATTTGTCGACGTGGAATCATTTTCTGAAAACTACGATGCATAATAATAACGAATATCGGACAGTTTATGATTTATTAACATTAAAAGTTTAGATATTATACTATTATACAGTGAGGAACGAGGAAATAATTGTCGAGCATCTGCCCGCGCAATTTTGTCCGTCTAAACTTTCAAAATGCGTAAACATAATAAACGATCGGTTCAATATTCGATAATAATTGCTGTATATAACAATTTTGAGAAAACTATTCAACGTCTGAAAATGCAGTTGAACCTAAAATTTGATTGCAAATTCCCGTTAACAAACACAAACATAAAAATAATAAAATGTATGTGAATTATAGAATTACTATAGCAGCAGTTTTGAAAAAAAAAACCGGCTAATAAAATTGAATCCATGTTGTAAAAATTAAATTGTTAACCCGTTAATGTCTATCATACTGATTACTGACTTATTCGATTGAGTGAGCATTATATCTAACTCGGAGTTTAGTTTTTGACGATATTAATTCCAGGATTGTATTTATATATATATAATATAATCAAGATAATTTTTTTTTTTTTTACAAGAATTTTTATTTTTTAACGGGGCAATAGTATGTGGACAAAACGGTTGACCGAGTTAAAATAAACATGCTTACAACCAACAATGTATTTGAAATTGTTATGCCAAAATTAATAACACCTAAACGGTGGCAGTGGACCTTTTCATCTGAGATCGAATTACTGTTCATTTGCCCGACCGTGATAAACAGGTACAGGGTTACTTACACATTTTTAATACTGCGCTTTGTGTGGTAACCCTTGGTTCGTATTGTCAGTATCAACTATACAATACCCGGTATTTACACTATTTGGTATTCAGATACCATAATCTGGTGTCGTTTTAAACAATTTGAAGTACTATAATATTATTGTGTAACTAATGGCGACCCAGAATAATTTGTCTTCTGCAGGGAGAATATAATTGTGTAATATGTTTGTGTTTTCTTCTTCGAAGTACAAAAATGATGGTCTTTAGGCGTTTTCGTCAATTAATTTCACGGAAAGTGATAGAAAAACACATATCAATTTTTTTACATTCGAATATTAGTCATGTTGATACATACCTTTTATTAATTTTTTTGTGCCTTAGATTTTTAGCATTTTGATTTTTTATACTTAGCACAATACGTGTTTACGTTGTACATTTTTTCATGCACGAGTATGTTTATAAATCTTTCATATACCAACATATTTCGGTATTTTTCAATTTTACGTACAATAGAGAACTAGACAAATGCAAAATTGAACACACACTGCAATAACGAATTATCCAAACTAACTAATCGAATGTGTTCCTAGTGTTAAGGTAATAGTTTTGGAGTAATTTTTATTAATCTTTATTCGATCAAAAGTCGTTCGATCAACTGATGTTTGTGATCAATTGATTTCGATCAATTGGCATGTATCTATATGGTCATTCCATTAAATATCTTTTTCTATCCGATGGTAATGCTTTCCAATTTAATCTTCTTCCTATATTTCGTCCATATCATTCTTGACTATTGTTTATTATTTACGTCTTCACACCTCGCTCTCGGTTTTTCGAGGAGTATATCCCCTGTCAGGCTATTTCGTTTCTAGCACTGAAGTAATTTTTTGTATATTTACATTCTGAAATCATATTATGTTTTTTTTTTTTTTATCGATCGGAGCAGGCAATGAGAATCCGTTTCGAAATTCATTAAGCACATATTTTTACCTATACCTTAAAAATAAAAACCCGTTTGTCGATATAAATACCTTAACGAGACTATAATATTCTTTAATTGCATCATTGTAAAATATAATACGAGTGCATTATTATCATGTTGAATATGTCGAACAACAGTTAAACGGATAATATTATTATTGTTGTTATTATTATTATGATTGTGCTTAATAGAACCACCGATAAGAGTATAGTGACTATGTAATAATAATATTATAATATCAAGATTGTTCACCATTTACAACGGTAATAATAATTGTCTTTAACAATACGACCACCTTACAAGTTCCCGTTCGACTAATAATAATATCACGTCGTTTATTGGCATGGCAGTGAACCATGAGTTATTTATTACTTTTAGTTTTCGACAAAAATTACTTTACCAATAATACCAATAACGTTTTCAGTACATTTACATAGGTACCTCCCTATAATATCGCATTGCATTTAGGTCTATTTAACAGATTGAGGTACCTAATAAGTTATTGGTACAATATTTAATATTCCGACCGATCAATAGTTCCTCAATAATATATAATATTAATTTCCGCTGGCAAAATTGTAATTAATTATATTATTTGTACGAATAATCAAAATATTAATTTCGATAATAAGAGTGTTAAATATTTATTGTACTCGAGTTTACTTCACAAATTCCGTAGTAGATCACTTAAAACCACATTAATTTTAATTTTAGGTAACGACTCGGTATTTCGTCGATCAAATTTGTAATGTAGATAATAGATAATTATGTATACGATTGTATTTCGTAACCAAACGAATAAAAATAATATCTTATATCTACCGACTGTGGTGGATCCAGTGGGGCAGGGGTCTACTCCTCCCCCCCCCCTCAGACTAGTAAAATAAACTACCTAAAAGTTTTTACTTCCATAGATAATTACTTAATTGTTTAACGCATGTAATATAATACAGGATTATCAAGAAAGAAAACAATATGTATCGATATACGGTCCGATACGGTTCGATACGTCAAAGCGATTGTATCTATTCGTATTAAGAGATAATTTCGGTATAGTGGAACGGGCTTATTAAAGTAATTTTTTTCAGGAGGCCTCTCCTAAAATTCAACCCCTGGTCCGCCACTGACTACCAAACATTTTATATTAATTTGAGTGTAATTGTTTAGGTTTGCTAGCTGTGTAATTCTTGAACTTTCCGTAATAGTTAATTAGTATTATTATAATAATTAAAAATAATTAGTTTAATAATGTTTTAAAATTTTTTTTCTAACTATTCGTCAGAATATTATGGGTATGTTTTATTACAATTGCATAATATAATAGCTGTTGGTTTCATTTCTCATCTAATTACAACAACAAAAAAATAAAATAGACTTTGACAAAAACCAGTGGCGTTAAGTAGATATTCCCGTCTTTGTCGGTTTTCTCCGTTATTACATAAGAATTGTAGAAAAAAAACCTCTTTAATAAAGCGATTATAAACAATTTGGTACCGGAATTCCAGAAAATTTCCCCGATGTTGACGATTGGAGCAAGTTTTTTGGTCAAAATCGTGTTAAAGACAAAACAAATTTAAAATAAAACTCTCATCATAGTTTAAAATCAATAATTTACATTAAAATAAATAATCGCATATTATAGAATGTATTATTGTTTTACGTTAGTTCAAATTCCTCAATACGACATTTCACCTACATTTTACAACACCTACGCAATTTTTTTTATTAATGTTACATTTTGTCGTTATACTTTTTGAACTTTCCATTGAATTCCATGACTTCTAGTTTTTATGTAGATGATTCTAAATCCATTTAACGCTTTATAAGACTTCGTGAAATGAGCCAAGAAATTTGATAAACAAAAAGTGAACTGAAACATAACTTTATTCGATTAATTGGCAAAACTTGCAGCATACACTGAGGAACTGTAAATGGGCTCTCATGGATGCTAAAATCTTATAACGTTCATATCACCGTGGGGAGCCCAACGAATTTATTACAATATTAAAATACATAATTTTAACCATAATATAATATTGTTTTATAAATATACACATAAGTAAAAGTAAGCTCGGCATTTATTTCTATACGATTTTTGATTTATAAACTACGAGTAAATTATACTCAGTAACTCTTTTACGAGTAAAATAATTAAAAAAAAAAGACGGACACACTTTGCACGTGAGTGCAGTCACTGTTGTAGATGGGAAGTTGGAAAGGTAGGATACAGATGATAATTTAATGTACATATGTAAGCAACGAAAAACCATGCAAACGAAAAACTGATTTTGAGCGGAGTTCAGTTGATAATGTTGCTTTGTCAAAAATAATTATAAACAAAAAATAATTAAAACAATGTGCGATTCCATAAAAACAATGATTGTTTAAAAAAAGATTAAAATAATAAAAACTTAATAATAATAAAAAATTAATAAAAATAGTTGTCAATGATAATCCCATTTTTAATCTTTCATTTTTTTTAACCTAAAGAACTAGTTTTTCCTCATTATTTCGAAAATTAATGAGAATTTCAAAAAATGACCTCTCTAAAGTACCATCCAGAGAACGTACTGAAAAATTGCTATATATGATAATCGGAGTAATCTTTCTGGTAGAAAAAGCGATCGCATAAAAAAAATAATACAAAAAATAAACACCATTTTAAAATCAATACTTTTCTTGCTCTGCTTAGAATCTAAAAAGAGTTGATACTGAGGACGGGTGTGGCCATTGTTGTATGTGGGAAGTCAAAAACTTAGGTTATGTAAATTTAATTTAATTTATTTATACCTGTACGCAACGATTAATCATTGCTAAATCAAAAACAATTCTGAGTGGAACTCTGTAAAGAGTATTGCTTTTTTAACAAAGTGCGTTTTCACGGTAACAATGATAGTTCAAAATCAGTTTTTATATCAAATGGCACTATGACAAATTTAACAATTTTCTAAACACATTTTTTTTTATCGTTCTACACGAACAATATTATTTGATTTTAATTCAAATGATACCTCGAATGTTACAGTCCTAACCAATACTTTTCACCGGCCTATAGTGTCGTGGTAATATAGTTAAAAAGCTGGTTAAAAATCCTAGTAAACTTTATATTGTTTTCAGATCTAGTATTATAATTTATAAACTAAATTAAATAAATATTTTGTGATACACAAATTGTTTTATTAATTGTAATTTATTAAATAAATAATAATAAAACCCTCTTTTTATAAACTATCTTTTCTATATATAGTTTTCTGATACCAACGTCTTTTCTCCAATAATAATATAATAATTAAACAATTAATCAGTTTTGTTCTTCTATCTGGTTTGAAAATTAAATGGATTAAATGGATTTTATTAACGAACTTAAGTTGTAAGTCTAATTATTGAGATATAATAATTTATGTCGATATTTTATTAAATAACCTCCCTCCCTAATTCAATGTTCCTGAGTACGCCTCTGACTTAAATGATATATTTTTAAGAAAAACCGATGATACATTATTGTAAAACTATGTTAGCATTGAGTATTCGTGTTACAAGATAAAACATGAAAGGTATATAACGTATTTGGATTTAATAAAATTACATTTTTCGAAATAATTAAATTTAAATGCATTGGATATTTCCTATATAGTGGAGTTGAAATTTTCAATTAAAACGGATATATCTTTTAAGATATTTAGATTAAATACATTTTAAAATATTATTAAATTATAGCCTGATAGTATATTTAAATTATCATTCAGCACTATGCGATATTATTATCTACAATATTTTATAATCAAAATGGATATTTTAAAAATAAACATTTTATAATTTTTCGCTTATTTATTATATTTAATACTTTGTGTTGGTAAAAAAAAAATTAATTTGAAGCAATTCAATTGTTTCCCAGCAATTACGTTATCATCTCTGTTATCAAATAATATCGAAATAGGAAAAAAAAATAACATACAAACTGAGCGATTTTGTTTGTTGATATTTTTACGATTTATTTAATTAATTAAGATTTTAAAATTTTATAAGTCTATATAAATTA